AATTAGCATGGGATCCCAACTAGAGGTGTCTATTTCTAAAGTTTTCAGTAGAGCAAGGCTGTTGCGAGTGAGGTCGAGCAGCAGTTTTACGCTTTGTAAACCACCATCGGTATTTTGTGCATTGACGAGCCTTTTTAAAATTTGATCCACTAGTTTTCTTTTGTTGTGAAATCTACTTACCAAGGCAGCCCAGGCAGTTTCATAGCTGGCATCCGTAGCTGGAAATTCTTCCACCATTTCTTTAGGTGTGCCGATGCAAGATCCCTTTAAATAAAAATATTTTTGTACCGGAGTTAAGGCGTCGTTATTATGTACCAGCGATAGAAACATATCGCGAAAAGGGATCCACTCCAAATAGTCTCCAGAAAACTTAGGCAAGTCGATTTTTGGCAGTCGTGCAGAAGCAGCGGTAGTGTCATTCCGTGTAGTGGCCATAGCGAAGGTGCTTGCGTGCGCGAGCGGCGACGGCCATGGCGCGAGGTCATTTTGTCGATCAAGTAAGGTAGACTTAAAGGCGATATATAAATCGTAGCAGGTATAGAAAACTTCCTCCTTCAGATAAGGAATGTCGTCCTCGTCAAGCGATGCGTTGCGAATAAGAGTGTAGATTTGTTCATGGCCGCGCTTAAAGTCCTGGAAGATAGTATCAATCTCCGCGAGAAGACTCTGAACATAACCTCTCGAGATCTCAGACGATTGCTTAGACTCGAAGTTAGTCTGGATTCGAGTGAGATGGGTTTGAATTCGGCGCTGCTCCTCAATTGCGCCGCTAAGGGACTCCATTTCTTTAAATATGCGATATTACGCGACTTCAAGCGTGCAGAAGGAAAAATTGGTTAACAAGCTAAGCGTAGAAATTTCTTGTGGTCGCTTGTATTTGCTTTCCTTCCCGGGTTTCGGCACCAATTTCATTGTTACACAAATTTTCGGGCTAGCTGCGGGTGTCCGGGTGTGGTGTTCGCTTGTGATCAATTTATAGCGAGGGTGATCGAACAGACTCGTTCGTACCCAAAGCAGCTGTCGGGTGTGCATCTCGATCGAACACATAGTAGCCGAGTGTGGCGTTCGCTTGTGCTCGATTTTTAGTGAGGGTGATCAAAAAGGCTCGATCATACTCAAAGCTGCTCTCTGGTGCATATACGGAACATGCGAGTAACGAGACTATTATCTGAGTAACGAAACGAGTCTTGCGGCGTAAGGAAATGTTCGTTCGTACATATGTACATATATACATCTATATATTAATACGCTAACATAAATTTTGTCTCCGTTCGTTCGGCGATTCTACCGAACCGATTTCAAAACCAAAAACACCATTGGAAAGGCTTTTTCTCTAGATGAGCACAGTTTTTATGGTTTCAAAATTGGTTGAAAATTACGGCCTAAACCGTCGTTTAAACATTTCCGATTTGTGTATAGATGTTGCTGCAACATGTTCAATTTGAGATGTTTCGCATGTTGTTTCACTTCGCATTTGAAATTAAGCTTTGAAATAAAGATAAATATGAAGATGAAGAAATAAATGATAACGATGAAGTCAAAAAAAGAGAAGAAAAAAGTGAAGATAAAGACGAAAATGGAGACATTGACGGATAAATAAGAATTAGGGCAACTGAACGGGTAAGAACATTTCTTGAATTTATGAAGTGAAACTTCTTTAGGCAGTTGGTTGGTTGGGAGTAAATTGTCAAATTCCAGGGGAATAATGCACATGGAAATGCTTCTCAGTGGTTTAGCGGTTTGAGAATAAAAACAAAAACAAAGATGCCTAGAGATACAGGCAAAAACGAAGATCAAGGTAAATTTAAACACTTCAAGGTAAAGGTGAAGAGGAATATGCAGAAATAAAGATAACTATGAAGAAAAGGATGAGGATGTAGATCGATATTGTTATCGATATAAAACTCGATATTGTTATCGATATAAAACTCGATATTTTTATCGATATACTAATCGATATTGCTATCGATAAAATAATCGATATTGTTATCGATACTGTTATTGATTAAATAACCGCTATTGTAATCGATATAATAATCAATATAATAATCGATATTGTTATCGATACAATAATGGATATTGTTATCGATACAATAATGGATATTGTTATCGGTATAATAATCGATTAAATAATTGATTTTCTTATCGATTTAGTCATTTACATATATTGTTATGATACTGATACTAATGATTGTTACATTTATCGCTGAATTAATCGATTTTACAATCGTTGTATTTTTCTATATGTGTATGGATATTGTTATCGGTATCAACAGGGTTATCGATACACTAATCGGAGCATGGAATGTGATCACATTACATGACATCACATCACATTTTATTACATGATATGAAGAGACATCACATGATTTTGCATCACATAATATGATATCACATCACACGATATCATGTGACATGACATTATATGATATGACATCACATTATATGGCATGACATCACATGACGACATCACATGATATGACATCGTATGACATGACATGGCATTACATGACGTGGCATCACATGATATGACATCATATGGTATGACATCGTATGACATGACATCAGAGGATATGACAACACATGACATGACATCCCATCACATCACATGAAATCACGTCACATCTTATCACGTCATCGCACCTCATCTCATCTACGTGAATAGAAAAAGAAAAGGATATAAGCAAAGATGTGAAAGATAAAAACAAAGATGAAGACCAAGGTAAAGTTACCGATTTCAAAACCAGAAACACCGTTGGAAAGTAATTTTCTGTAGATGAGGAGAGTTTTTATAATTTCGAAATTGGTTGAAAATCGTCGTTTAAAAATTTCCATATTTGTTAACGATTGTTTTTGCAACCTGTTCAATTCAAGCGTTTCGCATTTGGTTTTACTTCGTATTTGAAATTAAACTTTGTAATAAAGATAAATATGAAGATGAAGAAACAAGTGATAACGTTGAAGACAAAAAAAAAGACAAAAGTGAAGATAAAGACGAAAATTGAGATAAAGGCGAAAATGGAGACAATGAGAAATACATAAGAATTAGGTTAAAAGATAGGAATCGAATTAAAATCAGCCATAAAGGTTACTGAAATTTATCGAATCAGCGAAGTTTATAATTATCGAAATTTATACATGCTTATTAAGTTATCGCAACGTATCGAATTATTCAAACTGATCAATGTTTACTGAGTTGTCGAAATTGATAGACACAGAAGCTTAGTTGTCCAAATTTACGGATAGTTATCGAGCTATAAAAACGTGTGGGATTAACGAAATTTGTCAAGTTAAAGAAATGTATTAAGTTATCGATATTTATTGAATTATCATTATTTATAGACTTAACGAAATATATCGAGGTGTCGTAATGCATAATTATAATTATTGATATACTGAAATTGGTTGGTTCAACAAAGCAAAGTTTATGGAATTTTCAAAATATATCGATTTATAGAAATTTCAACGTTATATAAGCTTATCGATTTATCACTGCTTATCGAATTTAATCGTCTTAACAGAGTGTAACGAGTTATCAAAATGTTTAGGTAGTTTTCGAGAAATGTGGAGATGTTAAAAGTAAAAATTTGTAAAGGTATCCAAAGTTTTTACATTTTTGAGTTATCGAAATATATCGAGCCATCGAATTTCACAGTTATCGAAATTGGTCGAGTTAACGAATTTTGTTTAGTTATCGAATTTTAGTGTTCTTGAAATTCATCGAACTATCGATATGTATCAAATCATTGAAATTTATCGATAAACTTGAATGTATCGGGTCAATTCCAAGTCCTGCCGAAGTCCTCCAATGACCTTCTCAGATAAAAAAGAAAATTAGTTACGTGTTAGCAGAAGATTTTCCGGTTAGTTAATTTGTACCGTATAAGTATCGCTACGTGTTAGGTTAGAAAACCTCTCCAAGGCTTCTAAAACTAGAAAAACTGTCGAATTTCGACAGTAACTGGCACTCTAGTATGTATTTATACTCGCAACATTTTTTTGTATCGATTCGAACAATTTGATACAATCAAGCACTTCTACCCAGTGATGGAAAAGTAGGCACAGGGCCATTTTTGGCCCTTACATTCTCAGAGGCACTTTTGGTACAATTCATCCTGATTTGGCACAATCATAAAATATAGATGTTTAGCATAAAATGCCAATACATAACAAAAAATTACATACCACATTATAGATTAAAAAATTACAAGAAGTGAAAATTAAAAGCACTTACAAATTAAAATAAGGGATGTGAGAATTATTTGCAAACCGCTGAATTCGGTTGTGAATATGTAGTACGAAAAGTAAGTTTTCGCCACACAAGCTTTTAATTCAGAATTTTTGTAAAGATTCTAAGTTCGCAGTTTTATAGTTTATTAAATGAAAGTGGTAGTTTCTGCAATATCCCGATGATTTTTGATATTTTTTTCTGACGGTGTCATACATTTTGATCCATTTAAAAAAATTTCGAACACACTTTATATGAAAAAAATGCATAACATCGAAAACTTGGAATCTCCCTAAAAATTCTGAATTCAAAGTATTTTGTTGAGAAAACCTGCTGAGCTTTTATAATTTTTGTACAAAGTTTGAAATGCCGATTTGTGTACATTTATTGTGTTTATTAAATTATGAATTAGACTTTTATTTAAAATCAATTAAAAAATAATCAATGAAAATAATAGGCGAAACTGGTCAAAATGTCTTACTGCCATTACTTCGCAAATAGGTACATACATATGAGTGTAAGAGGGTCAGAATTGCTGTACTTTCGTATATTTCCCTTCCGTAATTGGAATTCTGTGTAATTTTACTATGAATTTATGTTTTATGTGTAACTAGCAGACCCGGCGAACTTCGTCCCGCCCAAAATTTCTATATATTTTATTGAAACTTTTTGGTCCAACATTTTTACCAACAATTCACGTTTACGATTTCCATTGGCACATTTGTCTGCTAAGATTAAGGTTTGGTGGTTATTTACCGCTTTAAATAACCTAAGGAAAGTGTTATATCCGTTCTTGAAATTCTCCAGTTGTGCGGCATTTCATAGCACGGTTATTCGCAAAGCGAAATACATTTTTTCCTCTTCACTCCCTGGCGGCAACAATGACCCGGTTCTATAGTGAATGTCCTAGATGCTTTACAGTATAGTAGGTGGCAATTTCAAAATGGGTGCGAACCATTGTTCTACAGAAATGCAATATACATATACTTATTTCAGACGAAATACCTTAAAAGTTTGAACGCACAATAATATTGGAAAATCACATCCATTGGGCCAATTGCAACGCAGGAGCGTTCCATATACTCAATGGTGCAACAGGTCGATTTAATCTGACGTTCACGGCCCCTTTTCTCACTTGGCTATTTTTAGTAATAGCTCGACTTCAGCACCACTTGGCAGCACGTTTTTGCAATAGTATTGCATACATATTTAAAACATTAGCCAAATCGGATCATAAATAAGATTTTTAGTAATAACTCAACTACAGCGCCAACTGTCGGATTGAATTGTGAAACTAAACCATCCAGAGACCCACTCAAATACACTAAAAGTTTCGTTAAAATCCGTACAACCATTTAGGAGGATTTCACTCACAAACACACCTACAGAAGAATAAAAAAATTCATTCAAAGATAGCTAAAGGTCGGTAGGTTTGTAGGCCTCACACCCCTTTTCAAATAGCCCAAATTTTCTCCATGAGTATGGGCTTGATTTCAACTATATACATATCTCCATACGAAGTTCCAGTACTGTACCATGAATACTTTCAGAGATA